CTCGGCCCTTAAAGGGGAAAGGTTGCCTACCCCTGCTATAGACTAACAAGGCTATATCTTTGCATATCCCCCAATGAGGATATCCTTAGGCTCGTCAGCTGGAGGGTGGGTGGCCTGGCGACCAGGTGGCACTTGCTGGAGTGACACCAACGTGGCTGGGCATCTTCGCTTTGCCTCGGGCAAGGAGCCGGCCTCCAGCCTCCACGTGCCGCCTGGCCCTGCTGTCACTTCGCCCAAGCCCCCCCCCCTCCTCCCACGTCGCCCAGACAGAGTAAATGACAGTCCCAGCCACGCATGCGCCGTATTTCTTGGTCTAGCCGCGCCCCGGCATCCCAGAAGGCTGGCACTGAAGCACTCACCGCGCGGACAGGCGTCCTTCGGGGGTGTAGCGACGGGAATTGGGGGTGGGGGTAAAATGAGGCCGTTGCCCCAAATAAAGAACTCTCCCGCCCCGCCCCCCTTAAAAGATTCCTTCAGATCCCAAATTTCTAGTGAGACAGAGAAAACCTTGCATGTCTGTCACTTCTATATTTTCAAAGATACGGTATGTAGAGAGATCTCGCAGCACCTTTGAGATTCACTGAAAGAAAGAAGTTGGCAGCAGGAGCTTTCCTAGACTTAAGTCTACTTCCTCAGATGCATTTGGTGGAGTGGAAAGCCAGGGACAGATCTATTATATATGCCATTAGTGTGTGAAAATGTCAATTCAAATTCAGAATCCTTTGTGTATGGAAATGAACTGGCAAGTTAAATTGTTAAAACTGGATTTGCCACTTCATTTCCACATACCAAGGATTTTGAATTTGAATTGACATTCTCACACACAAATGACTCATATAGGTCCGTCCCTGGCTTTGCACTCTACTAAATGCATCTGAGGAAGTAGACTGAAGTTCATGTTGCCAACTTCTTTCTTTCAGTTAGTCTCAAAGGTGCTACAAGATCTCTCTACATACTCAAATATTTGTTGTGCTTATATTCTCTTGGTCACACCCTACCTGCCCTTTTTCTTTAGACGCCTATACTATATTTCTATATATTCAACTGAACTTATAAATTATTGCAATGCTAGAAATTTGGGGACCAAAGGAATATGTATGGGGGGGAACTTAGGAAGCCCTCATTTTACAACCCCCCCCCATAACTACATCATTGCATCTTCTTCCTTTCTTGCTTGTCGTTCCCAAACAAGATTAGTGCACGTTAAAATCTGGGTTAATTAATCCGTGACAACTACTGCCCCGGAATGCCAAGAAAGGGGATAGATTGTTGTTCTAACTGGACTCGCAGAGGGTAGGCTGCGGTATGAAATCAGGATTAAGGGCCTGAACAGACTGCCAAAAATAATCCAGTTTGAGCCCACTTTGACTCTCTTGGCTCCATGCTAGGGAATCATGGGAATTGTAGTTTTTTCTATACATTGAGCCTTCTCTGTCAGAGAGCTCTGGTGCCAGAATAAATTACAGTTCCCATGGTTCCTTAACACTGAACCAGTTAAAGTGGTCTCAAATTGGATTATTTCTGGCAGTCTGCTCAGGCCCAAAGTCAACTTCAGGGGACATCTTATTCTACATTACGATTGGACAGCCGTTTTTGGCCTACAATTCCCATCAGCCAATGGTAAAGGATTATGGGAATTGTAGGCCAAGAACACCTAGATGGCCACCGTGGTCCGACTTCAGAACCTTTGTCCTGCCTTAAAGTCCTGTCTCTGTTTCTATCTCTAACTCTAGGCCTTTGCAGACTGTCAGAAATAGTGCACTTTAAACTGAGGCACTGCCCTGGCTCAGTGCTAGGGAATCATGGGAACTGTAATTTATTGTGGTACCAGAGCTCTCTGACAGAGAAGGCTCAATGCCTCAGAAAAAAATACAATTCCCATGATTCCCAAGCACTGAGCCAGGACAGTGCCTCAATTTAATGTGCATTATTTCTGGCAGTCTGCAAAGGCTATCTGTCTCATCAGGGGTAGGCAAACTAATCCCTTTAAGGGCCGAGGGACTTCAGCTCCCAGAATCCCAGGAGCTATTGGCCAACATGGGAATATTGGCCAGCATGGCTGAGGCTTCTGAGAGCTGAAGTCCCTCAGCCCTTAAAGGGGAAAGGTTGCCTACCCCTGCTCTATATATCTATGTCTACATCTCTATCTATATCTACAAATACACACGCACACATAAGCTCAGACCTTAGGCAGGACGATGGTTCTGAAGCACATGCCCTGAAGAAAGATGTGCACACACACACCACAAAACACATTTTTAGACTTGTGCGCCGCTTTACACACAAGCTCCCCAAAGGCGCTTACTTCATACATAGTCTTTTCTAAGCCTCCATTCCTTTCCAGAGGC